AGGATGGGATGGCCTTTATTCGTAATAAATTATTTTAGAGCAGTTTCAAAAGTCTTTTTAAAATGAGAGTTAAATCTTGAAATTAGGGTATCTTACTTCTCTTTTTAACTTTTAAAATAGAGAAGGTTCGACTCCATAATATTGTCACAATTTGCGATTTCAGTACTTCACAACTTCAATTAGTCATGCATATTGAGTATTTTAACTACGGGGAGCATTCCCCTAACCAATATTTTTGACAAAAAATCTCAACCCTTTATTTAAGTTGATCTAATGATTTAGATTATTTAATTAAAATCCTTTGATAGTTAAAAATGGAAAACCCCACAACACAGTCTAACCCCCCGTAATCTATGTTTCTGTGTGTCATCTCCAGTATATAATCCTTTGTAAAACTCAAAAGATGACAGAAAATTAGAGAATCATTGGAAACCAGATGACTATAGAATTGGATACTCTTATTCAATCATATTTTCCAATTAAAACGTTTATTCTTAGTCTTGAATTCAATTGAAAAAAATATATTTTTATTCAAAATATAGATGTTTGTTAAGGGATAAAATCTCACATCGAATAAAGATGAAAAAATAGACTAATTTATAAGAATTAAGATGAAACCCCAAAGACTCCTATCCAAGCATCAGGACATCGAAGGGGAGACCATTTCTTCGCAAGCGGAGAACTTGGTGCAAGGATTCGCCCGCTTCTCTTCGTTGTGCAATTTCATAACCTGATAATATGCTTCAATTTGGTGATGCATTGTTCGATTAATATTTTCAACTAAATTCTTATTTGGGGTGAACGATTATAACATAGTTTGGACCCTTAGTTTCTATAATCAAGTTACGATTCTCAGTTGATTATTGTGAATCACACCTCCATTCTTCTTGCTTTGAAATAACAATTATAACATAGTTTGGACCCTTAGATTCTATAATCAAGTTACGATTCTCAATTGATTATTGTGAATCGCACCTCGATTTTTCTTGCTTTGAAATAATTGGCCATTATTTTGTTGATTTGTGAATGATAACAAATCGAGAGATAAGTTATTTGTTTAGACCACAAAGTAAAAATAAGAATTTGGGTAAGACAAATACACTTTTATTAATTTTGCCATTCTTAATTGAATTCGTTGATGATTGAATGTGCTTAATTAAGCTTGTCCAAATTGAAAAAGAGATATAGTGAGTTGACTTAACTAAGTATAATGCTTTGAAGTCGAGAGACGTTTATTAATTAATTTTGAGAACTTGACCGTATACATAGAATTGATTTGGGAGTTGTTTGAGCCACATTTTTTAAAAAAAATACATTTTTAAACAGTAATTTGACATCATTTCAATCACACATTCTTTAATAAAATAATATTAAACTTAAATCCAAAACTTTTCTTTATTTTTTAATCATACATTTCCCATCAATACACTATTCAAAAATGCATTCAAATGAATATAATGTGGCTCAAACAAGGACTTGGTAATTGGTACTAAGAAAAATTAACTAAGGTAAACTTGAAATTTTAATATTTGTCGCACATAAGTTAAAATTCAAATAATCCATATCCACAATTTTAAATTATTTTCATAATTTTGTAATTGTTAAATTAATAATTACGAACTATTGATTTTACTTTTACTCAAATAGAAGTTAGGCATAGTTAGAATATTTGAATAAATAGTTTTCATTAGACAATAATTTGAACTCTCTAAGTTCACTTTATTAATTTATTTGACATCGCAACTTACAATATTTACTCGAACATTTCGTAAACTTGTTTCATCATGAATTTTAAGATGGTCTTAGGATTCTTTATGAGTACACAAAGTGTTTTTCTTTTCTTTCTTTCATGCTTCAAAACAATTGATCCCTATCACTTTGTATCATGAGATAAAACGTCTCCATATCTGATCGGGCCTTCTAATATTCGACGAAAACCGTCCATTTCTCCACCAGATACAACCAGTTGAAAGGTTTGGGACTGTAGGTATCACAAACGAAACGTTTGAGCAAAAACTGCCATTCAATGAAAGGTTTGGGACTGCAGCTGCTATTTTCCCTATACTAAATGCTAACATGATATCTGGTTAACAAATGAGTTGGGAGCTGAGGTAGCATTGCAAGCAATTATAACAATACCATACTTTTTTCTGGGTTCCTACCATTATTTCTTTGTCACTTACTAGAAATTGCGAGGAAAACTTTCAGACTAGTCGACATCTATGTAATAGTACTCAAAATCGTCGGTATGATCTTTCAAGACGGAGAAACAGAAAAATGGATGTTCTAGAGAATGATATGAACTATTTATACTATTCCTGCTAAACCTCCAATTCACTTGCGTGCAAATACAAAAACTATGACAGTTACCGTCTAGGAAAAGAGAGACCTCAAAATCTCTCTTTGAAGTGCCAGTTTTAGGAAATAGAATTTTCGACTTCTTACTGGGAAGCAGGATCTCTGAAAGGCTTCCCAAAGGAGATGATCCTCGACTGAAGTATAAAGGGTGCTCTAGATTGACTGCAAATAAGAAATAACAAGAGCACCCCCCCAGGGCACATCCGAGTTGGTGGAACAATCACTTCGCTGGGACGCTGAAAGCAAGGGTGGAGAGTTCGATTCCTGGAGTTAACACTGGGTGCTAAAATGGAGGGGAAGCCATTTGGTTGAACAAACGCCCAGCGAGGAGAGCTCTCTTTGCGGAAGGAGTCCAAATGAGTTGTGGAAACCTGGGAGCCAACAAGGGCACATCCTGCGATTTACCTCCCTGAGCTGCTGAGGGGCCGAAGGTTCAGGGACAAGGATCTAGTCGGACGCAAGCCCGGACACCTTGTAAAAAAAATAAAAAATAAAAAATAAATAAAAAAGAAATAACAAGAGCATTGTTCATTAGCCCTCCAGTCTGCTTAGCTTCAGCATTCTCATATTTATTGTCATCTTCAAGCATCTGTTCATCATCTTATTACACAAATACAGTTAATAATCCCAAATCCCAATCGTGGTTGTACATCAAAACATGCCCCTATTGCTTCTGAACATCTAATGGACAAATAATACTCTATCGACGCTTCTCTTTCTACTATGAGGAATCAGCCAAGTGATTTCTTTGATGCCTAAAGACTTCAGATCATTCGATATCCTAGCAAACCTTCAGGCGAGATTTAAGCCCGGACACCTTGTAAAAAAAATAAAAAATAAAAAATAAATAAAAAAGAAATAACAAGAGCATTGTTCATTAGCCCTCCAGTCTGCTTAGCTTCAGCATTCTCATATTTATTGTCATCTTCAAGCATCTGTTCATCATCTTATTACACAAATACAGTTAATAATCCCAAATCCCAATCGTGGTTGTACATCTAAACATGCCCCTATTGCTTCTGAACATCTAATGGACAAATAATACTCTATCGACGCTTCTCTTTCTACTATGAGGAATCAGCCAAGTGATTTCTTTGATGCCTAAAGACTTCAGATCATTCGATATCCTAGCAAACCTTCAGGCGAGATTTCAATTTCTATAAGGATTGAACGAAAATGAGAAGTCACATTACACATCTCAAAACATCAATTTTCTTAATATATCATGCTTTGGCATTTCCTTGCCACTCTACCACAGCAAACTTGTTCCACCATGACTGACAGATACCCATAAACTTATTTATAGTGGTGCTGGTAAAACTCATTCATCAAGAGACAATTCATTTCCTCTGAGACCACAGCATTACAAGAGAGAATCCCATCAGCGACATGATTACAGTCTGCAAAATGCAAGCAGAAATTAGAGTAATCAAACACCATCATATACACAACCATCTATTGCAGCAATTAAAACATCAGTAATGAAATAAAGAGAGAGCCAAAGTCCAGATTTTTTGTTGTAAGTTCAAATTAGAGATATAAACACAACCAGCTTGATAAATTATCAGGATGTAACTGTTTAGCCACAAGTAAAAATAAATATTCAAGAAGCGAGCAATTGATGTCAACCTACATATCAAGTGATCCCACCAGATCAGTTTGAAGACGAAAGCCATAAATTATCAGCACCAGCCACTATATATGTAATTCTAGAATTAGTTGTATCAATTTTTCAGCAAGCAAAAACGACTAGGTTCAGACCAGAAGTCATTTATGTGTTCTACACAAGTGAACTTGTGGACTTACAGAAATAGCAGGTGGCACACTAACAAGTGGATCTTGGAAAAATTTATTTGCAAGTGCAAGGGCCAAAAGACTGCTCTGCATCCCTATAAGAAGGGGAGGGAGATTGGTCAGACTCCAAAAACATCATTATCCGACAACAAGGTAACAATATTGCAGAGCCGTCAATTACCTGTTTCATAGGATAGTGTCCTTTGTAGAGCTTTTACATCTGGTGCATCATGGAAGACAACACCAGCAAGGGAATATCCAGAAATAAATGCTGATAAATGGAATGCAATCACAAGAAGCAAAACAGATATCCCCGAAGGGGACATGACTGATTTTATGTTAATAGCAAGTGGAGCACCAACACAAAGAGCGGTCACAAACACCGAAAGTGGAGGCAGAAGTGGCCGGATGGCATTGCATATTCGAGGAAAGAACCTGCACACACAAGTCAATATAGGTAAGAGACACTAATGTAACTAAAAGAAGAGGGTTAAAAACACAGACACAAAACTTCAAATGTTATTTTACTTGGGTCATCGAACTTTTTTTGTTCCAACTTAGTCACTGAACTTTCACTTCTGTTTAGTGCTTAGTTTAGGGCCTTTAGGCACTCCATTTGTCTAAATCGTGAACAGAAATGTATACATGTGGCATAAAAAAAAAAAAAAAATAGAAAAGACAAAATTCTGTTAAAAACTTGTCCACTTTGATGAGCTAGAAAGATTTCAAAGCTTCTTTATGCCATGTCCTCAATAGTCAATTCCATGAACCTCATTAATTTTATTAACTTAATTAATGGAGACAGGTAGAATGCCTAAACTGATGGTCTTGATAAAAGTTAAAAGTTCAGTGACAAAATTGAAACAAAAAAAGTTCGATGACTGACGTGAAGCAACACAGTTGGGTCACTAACAGTGTTTTTAACCTTTGATCTGAGGGGTACAAAGCAATATGTTTAACTAATTACCTATTCAAAAGTAACCCAGCTGCAATGGGAGTGACCACAATCTGTACAATATTTGAGACCATTCCTTTCACATCAACAGGCAACCTTTTGCCAATTAGCAATAATGACAAGAATGGGGTAACCAAGACTGCAGTTGCCGTAGACAGTGATGTCATGACAATGCTAAGTGGGGCCATTAGTGGATCTGTTAAAAATGTAGCATAATTGGAGAGCTGGGCCCCACTAACACATGAAGTCAACATGATCCCTGCAGCTGATCCACATAACTATAGGAGTTAGATTTTTATATCAGCTTTTGAGCAAAAAAGAAAAAGGATATTTACCTAAGGAAGTTGGAAGACCGAATATAGACATTGAAATCATGCCAAAAAGATACCCAAGGAGGGGTTTCACAATAAACTGTCCTACATAGCCAGCAAAAATAGCAGCTGGCCTATTGAATGCTTCAAGAAAATCTTTTTCACTAGAATTAACTCCAACCGCAAACATCAAAAAGCCCAACGCTGGGGCGTAGTACCTGAAATGGTATATAGACAAAAATTAAGAGTAACGTGGGGGGTGGAACTAAACCTTAATTTTAATAAATTTGGGATCTATTATGTTGACGACAAATTTCAATAAATAACTTTGACTTCTCTTTAACAACTTAAACTTTCAAAAGATGTGGTTCAACATGATACCTAGATACATAAAGGTCTTAAATTCAAGTCTTACAACCACAGTATGTGAAAAGTGTGCAATTGGCAGCCTTTCATGAAAGATGAATTCCGCCCATACTTGAGGGGGATTGCTCAATATAATTTTTGAATAATTAATTTGTCCCTACGTTGACATCTTAAGCTTTTACACAGTGTGGTTCAACAGGTTACACGGATCCTTTCACCCCATTTCATTGCTAATATCATTGTTGCATTTACTAGAAGATAAGCCAAAAATTTAAGAGCGCTGTATGGCAAGATGAAATGTAAGGCGCAAACAATCCTGAAGTTCATTAAAACAAGGTATAGAGCCCACGTGTCAGGAAGCAAATTAAATGTGTAATGATTCATTTTATTGCACATATTCCCTCCTTTGAGAATACTATAGCATGGGCAGTGGCAGAGCCAAGAAATGATTTGTGATGGGCTAAAATTTAAAAATTCTAAATAAACTCACGTTACAAGAGATCAAGTTTAGGAGACTGCGCTCATTACATTCATTACAAATAGTATCAAACACTCATGAAATACAATGTCTCACTACATATTCGTACCTTTTCTTGCAAAATACAAAATAGACGCTCACCTTTGAAAACATAAACAAATAGAAGCATGATAAACATAAGCAAATGATATATATCCACCAATCAAAAACTAAAATATACTTAAATGAATACTATTTTAAAGAATTTTACAACCAGCTGTTTCAAATAACTGAAAGTTTTGTCCAAAAATACATTATTGTATGTCATCATTCTCAAAATAGTATTTAATGTGGGAATCAATCTTCTATACCAACAAATTTCACGATGAGTGAAGAATCCACCCAAAGTGAAAAAAAAAAAAAAAAAAAAAACACGACAAGGAATTTCGAGGGTAAAAAAATTGATTTCTTTCACATCCATGTTTGATTAAACTTCTATAATATACATATATTCTTATTATTTATATATAAATAAGTTCTTATTAATATTCTCTTTATTATAAGATTAAATATAAAGTAAGTTGATCGTGGTTAAAATAAGTAAGTTTCTTTCTTATAAGTATGACTAAGTTATATATGAAAATATTTTTAGAACTAAAAAATCTAATTACTTTAAGCTTAGCCAAATATTTAGTATCTCTTACTATTAAAATAAGAAATTTATTTCAGCTCTAATCAATTCAATTTTATTTATTATGAAAGTTTATATATAATTATAAATAAAACATGCATTAAACAAAAATCTAATTTGGTAATAAATTGTTCACATTCCATTAATATCATGAAAGAATATTTGGATAATTGGACTTGGGATATATGAAGCTGGGCTAATATAGATATTTAGGCCAATTTAACTATAAAATCCCTTTTCTTTTACCATGCGGGTTGGGGCAAGGATGGGCTATAGATCTGCCTCTTGGCATGGGCTTATATAGGCATCACAATGATTACTTGTTGATATTGCAGGTAAATTTTCTATGAGATTAGGATATGCATGAGCATTTGCAAAGACTATCATCCTAATACATTAGCATGAATCAAAACAAGTAAATGCACATCACCGACCATCTTAATCATTTAAAGAATAGAACATACCTGTTCGTGAACCATGTAAAAGAAGGCGGATATATAAGAGCCAAAATTGTACTTGCAAGAACCACTTGAGGCAGAATAGAATTTGCCCCCTTCAAAATCTCAACAAAGGAAACCTCCTTTTGATTAAGCAACCAAAATTCAAGTCAAACCAAAAACCACCGTTAGTGAAAGTTCCTAAGAACTACAAATGATAATAGCTTTCAATAGAAATAAATTTCACATGCATTAAGGACTATTCTACTCTAAAAAAGAACACATACGTACTGCTAAATTTTTTCCCTCTCCTAACGTTTGCTCACTCCTCTTCCTCTAAAATAGTTAGAATCCTAGAATCGTGGCCATCTTGAGTTTAACATTTTTTTAGGTTCTTCCGCTGTATAATTTTGTGTCCAACTCTCCCTTTATTTTTGTGGTTGACAATTTGTTGACACTTGATAGTAATTAGCATTTTTCCACTGATTGCTTTTACTTTAGAATTTCACATGCTGCTGACATTGTTAATGAGTTTAGGCCTGCTGTTTCTTTTGCCTTTTGTCTTTCATTTATGTCAAAAAAGGGTTATTTAAGTAAAAGACAATTCAGTCTTGTCTTTGTACTCATGAAAATTTGGCAGTCAAATGCAGTTGAATTGACGTAAATGTTTTCCTCTCCTTACAAGTAAAAAGCCATTATGGTGAGACATCAAATGAAGAGACGGTAAATGATTTGAAGACGAATTATCTTCAACCAAGAGAGAATGAGAGAACTCAAAGAGTGTATGGGAACAGTCAAGGATTGGCATGCGGACCAAGGTGAGCTTAGAGTAACAGTCTTC